ACAACAAGCTAGATTATGCTGCATCTCATCTGTTTCCTCTTTGAGTTGTGTTTCCTGTAGTGCTGCCCTTTATTATTCCTCTCACTAAGGTTGAGTTATTGATTTGATGTCACTAAAAAGACTAGTTGGGATGTGTCTTAAGGTAAGGGGAAACACATATTTAATATGGGGAATGGGGGGGGGAAGGACTACAGAAAAACACATTTGACTTACATTTTCTTTCAGATCCATATTGGTCCAGTAGATTCCACTCAGAAAAATACAGAAGTACATCACATTATTTAGTATTTTGAAAGCATACTTTGCATTTATGGCTTGAGTTTGCCACGGGATAAATAAACAACTTGAATAGTGTTTTCTTAATCAAAGTGATACTTATTGCTTGGTAATGCAGCAGCAATCAGGGTAAATGTTTAAACCCCTCTATATATTTACAACTCTACATTCAAAATGGATGCCTCCCATAACGCAATTATCGACATTGTTAGTAGTGACGAAGGGGAAAGAGTAAGGGTATGAAGGCTGGAAGGCTACTCGGCTACCGAGTCCACTATTATATTTTCTCGTCAATTTCTTTGTGTTGATCTGTTTTCTTGTCTCTGTGTGTCAGAGGGGGACACCCCTACCTGACGGGTCTGGCGGTGGCAGGCGGAGCGTACTATCTGGGTCTGGAGGGCGCCATCATCGGGCCCATCCTGCTCTGCATTCTGGTCGTTGCAGCCAACATCTACAGCGCCATGCTGATGAGCCCCAGCTCTGCAGCGCCCACACCGGTGACGTCCAGCTGGCCGCACCACCCCCTCAGGTAGAGATCAAATCAAAAAAGACGATCCACTCCATAAAAAATGCAACCATACCATTAATTCTTTGTCACTCTCAGGACCATGAATGACTCCACTCCAACGATCCTGAAGAAGAAGGGTGAGTGAGCTCGAGGGTGACGCCCTGTGGAACGTCTTCTGGCTTCCTATTGGCTGATTTCCTCAGGGGGAAGCACTCCCCTCCCTGAATATCCTCCAAACGCCGCCCGGCTCTACAGGAGGCCGCGCAGAGAAGGACGGCGCCGTTGCGGCTAGTCTGCCATGATGCCGTCTCCTGACCAGAGCTGTTTCTCTGAGCAATATGGCACCAGCAGCTCAATCCAGACCCTTGAATTACAGATCATCCTAACCCTGATCCCTAAATTGGACCAATGACATCAGATTGGGCATTTGCGAAAATGAATGACAGAGATGTTGGTACTAATCACACCATCTCTCAGATCTCCAGTGCCTAAATTGATTTCTAATGTTTAGAAAATAAATATTACCGTGCGGTTTGTGGTGATAGTACGATGATATATTTTATCTACAAAGCCCCTGATAAACACCCTGCACACCCCGACTGGGTTTTAAGCTACAGTATGTGGTTGTGCAGTATTTGTACTCCCTACCTCGCCCCTAACAGAGGCTCACTAAGAGTTTGTAGTGACGGCTTGTCATAGAAGTCCTCACGCCTGGTTCAAGAGAAAGAGACGTTTAACTTAATGTGTCATTCACGTTTCAGTGATAAAAGCTGTGAGTTTTGCAACACCAGGCTTCATTTAAACTGGTTCACTTTTTTACTATCTGTGCACTTGATTTACAGCAAATATCTGCCTATAATCAATGGTAACTCCTCCAGTGAATCAGATTAGACTTCCTGCTTTCAGGGAGTCTGGTCTGAATCAAAGAGCACAGAATAACTGATGGATTTCTTGTTACATGTTTAATTTATTTCACATTTGGTTTTCTTTTTACACACTGTGAGTGCACATACACAAATAAATGCAACCACGGTTTTCATTTTTGACACACTTAGCTGATCTGTTGGTATTGAATCACGTTTACACTCAGAATGACTTAATATTAACAAGCTTGACTGAGTATTTCTGTGAGCACTTTAGAGTTCTGTCCTCCCTGTAACATGTTTTTTATCATAGCTTTGACCTCAAATACTTTATTTAGAAATGTCTGTATATTTTCTACTCCATACATGAACTTCAGTCAGAGCACTTTTCTAAACAGTGTATGAAGTAGTTAACATCATTTGAAGCTTTAATATTGAGCTGTACATATGAATTGTGTATTTAATGCGAAACATTGATCATACATGGCTACTGTGTTAGCTTTCAGAGGACTGTGACTGGGTTGGAACAAGCATTACTTTACATGTCACTGTTTAACTACTACTATAGTCTTCATTTGGCACTGTTGCTTTTACTGTTTTTTAATACCCGGATGTGCACTGACACAATAAACATTAACATTTCAACTGCAGTAGCTTTGTTTGATGTCTTATTACTGGATTGCTTTTTTCAATAATTAGGACTGCAATTAATATTATTGTAGTTAATTTCAAATAATTTAAGAATTATTACAATGTTCAAAATGTTAAAATTGTGATTTTAAGGGGATGTTCTGTTTTAGTATTAAGCTGGTAAAAGTACAAATTCAACTAATTTAAGTAATTGAACTGCATTTAAAAACGTAGTCAACGAATGGATTTGTTATGGAATATGAACTTAAATGTTGTGGTTGAGCTTATTTTCACTAGTTAATATCTTGTTTAGTAAAGTAAATTGAAGTTACATTTACAGTTGAAATCTCTTACAGTGATCATGTCCGTGTCAAACTGAACACCACAAGCAGCTGTTTAAAAATACGTTGATTCCATTACAACAAATAGGAATCAACTTGACGGTGGTTTCAATGCTTATGAATGCCACATGGTATGAAAAGGGTGTGAGTAAAATAAATAAAATATCAAAAAAGTTTTCACATAAAAAAATCCCAAATAATTCCAAGTATAGCCATCTAAATAGTTAGTGATACATATTCTTAATTTAATATGCCATTCAAAAAAATTACAATATACAATGTTTAAAAAATAAATAATGGATTAAATTGCCTTAAGTCATGAAAATACAAAAATACAATAGTATCGTATGTGTTAAAAAAGCTAAGTTAAAAGTCAGAATGTAGTAATTCATAATGATGTCACAAAAATATCATGGTATAGTTTGTTAAAAAGAATCACACTATATGCCAAACAAAGTATATAGTATAGTTTACCCATAAAATGTCATGATTGTCATTGTTTAGTATGCAAAAAAATATAGAATGGTATATAATATCACAGATGTATGGTATACAATGTCATGTCTGTATGCCTTAAAGAAGAAAAGCCATATTAAAGAATACAAAAAGTGTATGGTGAATGGTAAAAAGTCATAGTATTTCATCAATAACTAAATCTAGGTTTCCCCGGATAAATCAACAATTCTGTGTTGTTTATTAATTGAGCCAGGCGTCTGCTCTGTGAAGTCTTTACAGATTGTCATTGTGTCAGCGCGGCTCGGTACAGATGGACAGAATATATATAAAATCCTCGGAAAGAAGCAGAACAGCTGTCAGTAGAGCTGGCATCTTTCAACTGAAGTCTCCAGTAGCCTACCAAACAAACACACGCATGACATGTACATATTACATAACAATATCTTATACATTTTGCCACAGGACTTAAAAGATGTCATTCTTGTTTAAATAACATTTAGCAATAGCCATGTTTGAACAGTGACTGTGTTGAATTTAGAGCATCAAAAAATGTAGGTCATTTTATGAGGTGCTAGAAACTTGAGGGAAAGAGAGAAAATGAGGGTAGAAAGTGAGTTGTAGATGTTTTTCCAGAGGTTCTTCATGAAGATTTCATTTGTAATTTGTTTGATTATTGCCACACTCTATACTGACGATGATATATTGAATACAATTTGAAAAACAATACATTTACGGTTATACAGTTCATCTTATTCTACATGTGTATAGACTCCTGCATTAACTTCACGTACAACATTCTCTGCTTTTGCTACTTTGCTACAATTCAGAGGTAAATAGTGTACTTTGACTCCACTACATTTATTTAATACCTTTAGTTACTTTATAGATTTGGACTAATGATGTGAAATATAATCAACTCTTAAATAAGACTTTAGTTCCACCTGGAGTAAATTCACAAACTACCCTGCAGTATACAAAGTAAATAAAACAAGCTGCACCTTTACCAGCTTTTATAACACTTTAATGCATCAATAATTATAATCAAAACATAATTTATTATTCTGAAATTGAACAATCTGCAGAATGAGTACTTTTACTTTTGGTACTTTAAGTATATTTTCAATGTTTATTTATGTAGCCCAATATCACAAATGTTACATTTGTCTCAGTGGACTTCACAGTTTGTACAGAATATCAGTATGACAATACGACACCCTCTGTCCTTAGACCCTCACATCGTACAAGGAAAAACTTCCAGAGAAAACTCACAGTTTAAAGGGGAACATGGGAGAAACCTCAGGGAGAGCAACAGAGGAGGGATCCCTCTCCCAGGACGGACAGACGTGCAATAGATGCCGTGTGTAAATTGAAAAGATAATACATTTGCAACATAGGTAGTCCAAATGTTTGGAAATGCATGTGTGTATAATAGGAAGATGAATCCACGAGGATATCCATCCAGGACTTATGATCCAGGACCACAGCCACGACTCGCGATCCAGGACTCGCGATCCATGACACAGGACCGCAGGATCATCAATGACTCCGGATCCCGGCGTATATAGACACCAAAAAGAAAGAAATTTGGGGAAGCTGGGTTAATCGGAACATGAGAGTACACAGGTATAGACAGAGAGAAGGAAGAAGTAAGATGTCCCCCGACAAACTAAGCCTATATCAGCAAAACTAGGGGCTGAATCTAATCAGCCCTAACTATAAGCTTTATCAAAAAGGAAGGTCTTAAGCGCACTCTTAAAAACGGATAGGGTGTCTGCCG